TAATCTAACGGTTTTTTGTTACAGGATCCCACCCAGGACACCAGAATCACATTTATTTGCCATGTCTCCTCTTGGCTATGAGTTTCTCAGACATTTCTTGTTTCTGATAACCTTGACAGTTTTGAGAGTACTGGTCAAGTATTTTGTAGGATGCCCCTCTAATGGAATTGTCTAATTTTTTTTTTTTTTCTAATTTGACTGGAGTTGTGGGTTTGAGGGAGGAAAACCATAGAAGTACAATGCCATTTTCATCAGAAGGTTACATGCCATCAACATGATTTTTATCACTGAGCTCAGGTCGCATGTTAACTTGGTGGCTTACAGTTAAGTTTTCAGCTTCTACTAAGGTCCAGTAGCAAACCAAAAGCTGTTTCTCAAAAGCAGAATAGTTACCCACAGACAATGACAGAGATTTGCTCCAAAATCCTAAGGATTTGTACTGTGGTTCACCTATGGTTGCTTGCAAAAGATTCTAAACAGTATTTGCTTAGTTATTTTTTGGGAGAAAGGATCTTTTATGTTGCCTAAGCTACAGGGCAGTGGCATGATCATAGCTCACTGTAACTTGAAGTCCTGGGCTCAAGTGATCCTGCCTTAGCCTTGCAAGTAGTTAGGACAGACTACAGGTGTGTACTACCACACCTGGTTAATTACATTTTTTTTTTTTTTTTTTTATATATAGAGATGAAGTCTCCCATTTTTGCCCAGGCTGGTCTTAAACTCCTGGGCTGACGCAATCCTCCCAACTTGGCCTCCTAAAGTGCTGTGATTACAGGTGTGAGCCACTGTGCCTGGCCTCTCAACAGCATTTAAATCTGCCATTGACACTTTAAGTACCATTGGATCTGCTGGATCTTATGGCCCAAATGGCAGAGCAACTTGCCCAAGAGCCTGGACCTGTTGTGGAGCCTTCTCTTCTTCTACTAGGTATTGTGTGTTTTTTTTTTTTGTTTGTTTGTTTGGCTGGTTGTAGAAGGCGCCAAATGCAATATACAATAACTTATTCTTCCATTTACAAGCGATATCTTGGGGGCCGCAGTGGCTCATGCCAGTTGTCTTGGCACTTGAGGAGGTGAGGCTATGCATTCAAGGCCAACCTGGGCAACATAAGAACCTCTCATTCATTAAAAAAATAATAATTAAAAAAAATTTACAAGTGATATCTTGACATGTCCCATACTGGTCTCCTAGAAATTTCACGAGGTGGAGGGCCCCAGATGTTTTGTGAGACTTACTTCCTGTCTTCAGAATGCATATATTTTACCAATATGTCTAGAGTAATTGCTACTTCCTGCTCACCATGAGTAATCAGCATAATATCATCAATGTAATGGACCAGCATGAAGTTCTTTGGAAGGGGAAGACTAAATTACGACATAGGGCTGAAGAGTTGATATATTCCTGTAGTGGGACAAGAAGTTGTATAATGGTCTTACCAGTTAATGGTAAATTCCTTCTGATGGTGTTTTCCAATAGGTAGAGAGGGAAAAGGCATTTGCTTGATTAACAGCTGCCCAGTACTAGGAGATGTGCTGATTTGCTCAAGTAATGAAACATCTAAATGGCAGTGCAACTAGAGTAACCATGAAATTAGGTTTATAAGAATCTATTGTCATTTTCCAAGATCCATTTGTGTTTTGCACATGCCAAATAGGCGAGGGGAAAAGAAATGTAGTGGGTATCACCACCTCTGCAACTTTCAAATCCTTGACAGTGGCATTAATATTTACAATCTCTCCCAGAATGTGGCATTGCTTTTAGTTTGCTACATTCATGGGTATAAGCAGTTCCAGTGGCTTCCTTTGGCCTTTCCTATTACAATAGTCTTTATAGGTCAGGGAACCAATGTGGGGATTCTTCCAGTTGTTGAGTATATCTCTTTTAATTATGCATTCTGGAACTGGGAAAACAGAACCACAGGATGGGTCGAGGGATTCAATGGGTCTAATGAGAGATGAACCTGAGCTGAAACTCCATTGATCACTCGACCTCCGTTAAGCCTCTACTCTGACTGGTAGGCAGAGTAATGTTTTTGGTTTCCACAGATTAGTATCAGGTCACAGCCATTGTGTAGCAATCCCTTACAAATCTGATTATTTCTTTTCCTCCAATGCACAGTTACCCTGGTAGATGGCTATTGGTCCCTTTGGGAGAAATAAAAATACATTTTTGGCAATGTAGCAGTCCTTGCTCAAGAGGATCCAGCCTCTCCTTCATTCAGAGTTCTGAGAGTATAAACTGGCTCAAGTCTGGGAACTGATTAAGGGGTTGTGACTCTCTGTTTTGGTGATGCAAGTAAGGATATCTGTTTCCTACATCTAGAACTCTTCCACTTATACAGACCAGTGAGAACGTAGTAGATTGACTATTTTCTAGGGACACAATGATTAACTGGCCAACAGCACAGGTCTCTGTAAGTAATATTGCTTTAGCTTTGCTTGCAATTATAGTAATCATGCCGACCTACTTTTTGGCAATTAAGTGCCACCCCAGGGTAGCACTTAGGAATCCATTTGATGGTAGCAGTTTCCACTGTAAGATATATGTGACTTAAGAGTAGCTGCAGATCTCTTCAAGGATGCTTGGTTTCCCCTCACAAATTTCTTTCTTAGAGTAATGGTGAAAAGTATGTCTTCTGGATCCTCCTGGGGTGGGTAAGCAGGTCTTAAATGATAAATCTACTCTAACATTCCAGTCTCCACAAGCCTATGGATACCTGTCTCTACAGATACCTAGGCAGTTCTGGCACTTCAACTTCATTTAGCATAGGCCCTTCTGGGTGGATGGAGGTTAAGTGATCAATGGAGTTTTCATTCAGATTGTTCTCACGGGGGTCCCAGTGGGTCCCCAAACCTGTCCTGTGTTTATTTTCCCAGTTTGACATGCATAATTGGAAAAGACACACTCAGCAATTAAACACAGCATTACAGCTTTTTCTAAGCCTCTGAGATAAAACACTGAATCCAGAATCTCTGGTCAGTTCATATCAATAAATTTGGCCTGATAGAATTTATAATCTTTCCATTTTGATCCCTGCATGAGTTTCCTGAGGTGGTCATAAAAAAGTACCAGAAACTGAGTGTCTTAAAACAACAAAATTTATTCTCTTGCAGTTTTGGAGGCTAGAAGTCTGAAAGCAGGTTTTTGGCAGGGCCAAGCTTCTTTGGAAGGCGCTTTGGGATAATCCTTTTTTGCCCTTTCTTTGCTTTGCTGACTCCTGGCATTCTGTGGCGTTTCCTGGCTTCCAGTTGCATCACTCCAATCTCTGCTTCTTTCTCCACATGGCCTTCTTCCCTCTGTGCACATTTATCTGTATGTCCTCTTCTAAGGGCACCAACCAGTGGATTTAGGGCTCATTCTATACCAGCTCATTCTATACTAGACCCTCATCTTAACTAATTACATCTGCAAAGCCCCTCTATCCAAGTAAGTTAATATTGTAAGGGTCTAGGTGGACATGAATTTTGGTGGACACTATTCAACCCTCTACAATCCCATACCTTAACAGTCTCTGTATATTCTTTCACATGCCCTGAATTTTTTAGCATGTGTATTTATTACTTTTTCAAGTAAAATTAAAGGAGAAAACAATACCCCCGGAGTTCTTTGCCACAAGATAGAAACATTATTTCCGACCAGTTTCTCCCTTGGAGGTTACTACTGTTTAGTCTCCCTAAACTGGTCTTCCAAGTCTTGCCCTTCTCCAAACTTTTACCAAACTGCTGTCAAAGCGATTTTTCAAAACGATCTCAAGATCTGTCAATGAGGATTAAACATAAGCTTCATAGCCTAATATGGCTTTTTCATGGTCTGGCCTCCAGCACCACTTTTTCTGTTTCATCTTTTTTTTTTTTTTTTTTTTTTTTTTTTTTTTTTTTTTTTTTTTTTTTTTTTTTTTTTNATGGAGTCTCACTCTGTCAACCAGGCTGGAGTACAATGGCGCGATCTTGGCTCACTGCAACCTCCGCCTTCTGGGTTCAAGCCATTCTCCTGCCTCAGCCTCCGAAGTAGCTGGGACTACAGGCACCCACCACTGCGCCCGGCTAATTTTTGTATTTTTAGCAGAGACGAGGTTTCGCTGTGTTGGCCAGGCTGGTTTCAAACTCCTGACAGGTGATCCGCCCACCTCGGCCTCCCAAAGTGCTGGGACTACAAGCGTGAGGCACCATGTCCAGCCAGTTTCATCTTTCAGTACAATCCCCTGCTCCCTGCCTGTTCCGCCCTGGATTCCTCGCGGGTTTCTGAACTGCCCAGCCGCTCCATCCCGCCCTATTTCGGCGCTGCACTTCGCTTCAGCGACGCTTCTTGCCCACGACTGCAAGTCAACCTTGGAGACTGCTTCTCTACTCCATCCCGGAGATGAAGCACTTCACTCTTGGATGCTTGAAAACGGTTCATATTTTCCCTATACATTTTGTTCCAAAATGTTTATATGAAATACTATGATCCAAGAACACACACTGCTGCGCTTGCTTAAGCAGGTCGAGTTGGACCAGTTCACGCTCTCCGCCCCAATCCCGGTGCGGTAACTCCCAGCCCCGGAGCGACCAGCCTGGCCCGACAGCTGAGGCCCAGACCCGCCGGACTCGGATGCCGGGACCTTCCCGGCAGGGACAGCCGGGACAGGCCGCAGCCACGCTTTACAGTTGAGGAAAACCCGCTCCGGCGGAGGGCGACGCTCGGAAGCCGAGAGTGACATCGCAAGGCGCCGGAACGGATCAACGTCCTTCACACCTAAGACCAGCCTTCCTCCTCCTCACCCAGGACGCTCCTCGCCGCTGGTATTATTGTTTCCAACTCGAAAGCCCTCCGCCTCTCCCCACACAGCTGACCAGGGAAGCAAGCCAGCAGCGCCCGGGAACAGAGCATGCGCAGCAGCCTCAACGCGCGGTCCACCTCTCCGCCCCGGCAGCGCAGCCCGCGCACGCGCATGCGCATGCGCCGCGTCCTGGCCTCCCTCCGGCCGCACCTCCACGCGCCAGGTCAGAGGCCGCGGGGCGGGCCGCGGTGACGCGCGCGGAAGCGCTTTGGGGACCCTCGGAAGCCGCCCGGGCAGCAGAGAGGCTGCGCCCACAGCCTGGCACCCCGACGGGAGGGTCTCGGGATCGTTCCGAGCGGGCTGAACCCCTTAGGCCCCAAGCGGCCGCATGAGTCGGGGGACCATGCCTCAGCCCGTAGCCTGGCCGGGCACGAGCTGTGCCGAGACACCGGCGCGGGAGGCTGAGGCCGCCACGCAGGAGTGCGGGAAGGCGGCGGCCGGCGGGCAGCCGCAGTCCGAGATGCGGTTCCCGGCCGAGCAGTGAGTGCACCGGGCGCGGGTTGGGGGCGGCGGGCTTGGTCCCCTCCGGAAGCCGGGCTGGGGTGGGGAGTCGTCACGGAGGGTCCCTGGGCGTCCTCAATTCTGAGTGAGGCCGTCGGCGACAAGGAGGAATTGCTGGACAGTTTTGCCCAGTGTCTGAGTGCAGATTTTTTCCCCAGAGCCCTTCACAATTCTGATCACACAGTGCCTCCCCTCCCGTCTCATTTTTGATATCTGCATGTCTGTAAAGTTAAACAAAGTTCAGAAACTTGGGAAGCAAACCTGAGAAGCGATGTGTTTTATTACTAACTCCCACTAGATCTTTCCTCCAGCTTCGCACAGGGAGGAAGTGAGGTCGCCCTGCCGCAGCCGCGGGAGAACGGAGCCGCGCGACATGTTCTTGGAGGCGACCTCCCACCTGTTGGACAGACTTTGGACCGAGTCTGACCCATTCTCTTTGACCCTTTAACGGCCTGACTAGTATCCCTTCCCCCTTTTCCTCTTAAAAAGGAAAGTCAGTGCTGGTTAGATCAATTCCTTACTGTACTGTGAAGAAGACGGTTTGGGAAGAACTCATAGTTTCTACAAGAGTCGGGGGTACACGTGGAAGCAGAATAGAAACTCAGTGAAACTTTTCTACACTTTCAAGTTCTAGGCACCTGTAAATGCTCTTGTAATTTAAGAAATAATGAAAGCACTCAACTAGTTTGACAGATATTTTAATTGGCTGGAAATTTAAATTTAAGATGTGTTTAAATGCAAAAAGCACCGCTAGAACTAGGAAAAAAAAAAATCCTGAAAAGGGGTCCTTTGCAGGCCTGTTAGGTAGATATTGTGTTATAATAACACATTTGCATAGTACTTAGACATTCTCATTTGTTGAGAATCCCCTTGGGATGATGGTATTCACACTTAATGGGTTAATGGTCACTGGAAAATAAGATAGAGTTGGTGATCTCAAACTCCTGCCCCCGAAGTAAGTTAGTGAAGTTGGCCAGAACCTGGAGAGATTGTCTCTCTATTGGGAGGCAGGGTCCCCTAAGCTCAAGCCTGTAGTTGCTGCATCTTCCATATTTAAAGAATCCAGCTATTTGGGGTTTTGCATGAAATACGCTGCTTTTTAAATAGTGGCACTTTTTTTTTTTTTTTTTTTTTTTAATGAAGATATGATATATAAGTATAAGCATACTTCATTTTATGGTGCTTTGATTAATGGCACATTTCAGATTTTTCATTTTTTTTTTTTTAATTGAAACCTTGGGGCAACTCTGTGTCGAGCAAGTCATTGGTGCCATTTTTCCAACAGCATGTGGTTACTTCGTATCTCTATGTCAGCATTTTTTAGCAGTAATTTTAAGTTCAGGTCTGTACTTTTTTTTTTTAAACATAATGCAAATTATCATACACTTAATGGTATAGTGTGAGCATAACTTTTATATGCACTGAGAANTTAAATGAAACCACTGTACACACCCATGCGTGAGTTGATGTGCCCTGTGGCAGCCAGTTTGCTCTCTGGGTTAGAGTTTGTATTAGGCCATTTTTGTGTTGCTATAAACAAGTACTTGAGGCTGGGTAATTTATAAAGGAAAGGGGCTTAATCAGCTCATGGTTCTGTAGGCTTTATATGAAGCTTGGTGCCAGTATCTGCTTGGCTTCTGGTGAAGCCTCAGGAAGCTTTAACTCATGGCAGAAAGTCAAGTGGGACAGACAATCACATGGCCAGAGAAGGACCAAGAGGTAGGGGTGCCACAAAGTTTGAAACAACCAGATCTGGTGTGAACTTGGAGTCAGCACTCACCTGTCACCATGGACATGGCACTAAGCATTCATGAGGAATCCAGATACCTCCCACCACACCCCACCTACAATCCCTGTGTTTATATTTTAACGTGAGATTTGGAGGGGACAGAGATATCCAGACTACATCATTCTGTTCCTGGCCCCCCCAAATTTCATGTCTTTCTCACATTAGGAAATATAATAATCTCTTTCCAACCATTCCTCAAAGTCTTCACTCATTCTAGCATCAAGTCCAAAGTCCTAAGTCTCATCCAAGACTCAGCTCCTTCCACCTGTCAGCTTGTGAAATCACAGACAGGTTATTTAATTCCACAAATTCCTGGGATATGGACACAGTGCAGGTAAATTATTTGCTAGGACATAACGGGCGACCTTTACTCCAGTTCCTAATAACTTCCTCATTTCTATTGGAGGCCTGATCAGCCTGGCCTTAGTGTTCATATTTCTTTTTATTTATTTTACTTTATTATTATTGTTTTTTATTGAGATGGAGTCTCGCTCTATCACCCAGGCTGGAGTGCAGTGGCACAATCTTGGCTCACTGCAACCTCTGCCTCCCAGGTTCAAGTGATTCTCCTGCCACATCTTCCCGCGTAGCTGGGATTACAGGCATCTACCACCATGTTTGGCTAGTTTTTGTTTTTGTTTTAGTAGAGACAGAGTTTCACCATGTTGGCCAGGCTGATTTCGAACTCCTGACCTCAAGTGATCTGCCTGCCTCAGCGTCCCAAAGTGCTAGGATTTCAGGTGTAAGCCACTGTGCCTGACTCACTGTCCATATTTCTATCAGCATTTTGGTCACAACCATTTAACCAGTTTCTAAGACATTGCAAACTTTCCCTTGATTACCTGTCTTCTGAGCCCTCCAGACTCTTCCAACCTCTTCCCACTACCCAGTTCCAAAGCTGTTTCCACATTTCAGGTATCTTTATAGCAGTGTTTGACCCCTCGGTACCAATTTTTTGTATTACACTGCTTTTGCACTGCCATAAAGAAATACCTGAGGCTGGGTAATTTATAAAGAAAAGAGATTTAATTCCCTCATGGCCCTGCAGGATGTACAGGAAGCTTGGTGCGTGTATGTATCTGCTTGGCTTCTGGTGAGGCCTCAGAGAGCTTTTACTCATGGAAGAAAGCCAACCAGGACCAGGTGATCACATGGCGAGAGAGGGATTGAGGTGGGGGTGAGGTGCCACAGACTTTTAAGCAACCAAATCTTGCGTGAACTAAGAACACACTCATCACCAAGAGCGTGGTGTTAAGCCATTCATGAGGGATCTACCCCCATAATCCAATCACCTCCCACTAGGCTCACCTCCAACCCTGGAGATTACATTTCAGCATGAGATTGGTGGAGTAGGAGGTGGGGAGAAGTACCCAAATCATATCAGAGACTTACCTCAGACTCTGCAGAAGGTTAAATAGGGGGTCTCTTGTCCCCAACTCCTGCTCCATGGGCCCATGCTGGTTCCTAATTGCTGCTTTGCCGTCCTCCTACCCTGGTGATTAGAATCATGTACACCTTAATTTGATGCCCTGTCCCATGTTGCACCTCAACCCCAGCTGTTTCATGCCCCCTGAGCAGGGCAGAAACTTTGAAGCCAGACTGTGTTCTCCAAAGTATATGTAGTTACTTGGCAAGTTTTCTGGTGGATGTGATTCTCAGTCTGAACACCTATGAAAACAGACAATGGTAGGAAGAAGTGCTCTTTCTTGGAAAGTTTTTGTGGCACAGGTGCCTCTTCTGTCTGCTGCTAGTGGAACTATATAGACTCAGAGCTGAAAGGAATGCAAAAAATCTAGCCTAGGTTTGTCATTTTACACATTTGCAGATTTGTTAAGTGTAGCTTGGCTAGAGAGACCCTGATGCATCAGTGGGAACCTCCCCTATCTCTTCTGGGCTTCCTCAGCAAAACCAGGCAGAGATACATGGTTTATAGTGACAGCCAGCTTCACTTTTTTTTTTTTTCCCTTGGTTTGCTTCCCAAGTTTGCCTACCAATAGATGTTCTAGTTTGTGTGTGTGGTTTTTTTTAAGCAGCTTAATTTTGTTTTCTCATTTTTTTTGTGTTTGATTATCTCATTCTCTTTTACCTCTCATAAGATGGGGCAGAATAAGAGAGGTGAATTTAAGATGTCACCTTTTGAGCATCATGTCTTAAATTTTGGACTTTTTAGCCTTTTTCCATCTTTCTGATTCGGCAGTATCTGAATAGTGGGCTATTTCTCTATGGTATCTTCATGGGCTAGACAAACTGTGCTATGGGTATCATATAAACATAAAGTTTGCAATATAAGGTATTTATGTCTATTCTTGCATGATGATATATACAGCTTAATAGTTGAGTATCAATTTAAATAGTGTAATGTCCATTTTTAGTCTTTTTTTTTTTTTTTGTCATTGGAGTCAAGGCCTTTCTTTCCACCCAGATAGTTGGGTCTGCTGTGCAGAGGAATCATTTAAAATGTTTGCACTTAGAAGTGTGAACACCGTAAGACTGTAGAAGTTTTGAGATATCCTACAGAGTCATTTTTAATACATTCAATGGGCAGTAATTACAAATACAAATCATAACCCAACTTCTGCAGCTGAATTAGACATTCAGGGTGTAATTCTGAAGGCTGTGGTGATGGGTAGAGAAAGAGATGGCTTATTTCCTAGGCAACACAGTAGGTTACTCTGATTCCTTTCCACTAAGCTCATCACATTTCACAAGGGAGAGAAGTGAAGGAAGAGAAACATATAAACCACATGGATAAGCTACTTTGTTTTTGTTTGTTTGTTTGAGACAGGGTCTCTCTCTGTTGCCCAGTCTGGAGTGCAGTGGCACAATCATGGCTCACTATAGCCTCAACTTTTTGGGCTCAAGGGATCCTCCCACCTCAGCCTCCTAAGTAGGTGGGGCAACAGGTGCATGCCACCATACCCAGCTTTTTTTTTTTTTTTTTTAAACTTTTTGTGGAGACAGAGTCTTACTTGTTGCTCAGCCTAGTCTCGAACTCTTGGGCTCAAACAATCCTCTTGCCTCAGCCTCCCAAAGTGCTAGGATTATAGGTCTGTGAGCCACAGCACCCAATGATAAACTCCTTTGTAATTGCAGTTATTCTTTTCCTCCCTTCTTTTCTCCCTCCCTCCCTCCCTTCCTTTCTTCCTTTTTCCCATCCGCTAATCAGCGCATTTGAGAGATGTGGTTGGCT